ATGGGAGTAGGAAAATAGCAGTGATATTTTCTCAAGACAAACTCCATACATCCCCTTTGGATTTCTATGTACAGTAAGTCTATGAAAGAAATCACACGAGGATTTTTGATATTTTGTTGTACAAGAAAAATTTTACACACACACACCCCCAAAATAATATCCAAGCCCAGATTTTAGCACTTTTTTAATGCTTTTTCACCTTGAAAGTATGGCACAACTCTTCCCCATTAATCCATCTTCACTTTTGAGCAGAGAATGTAGATTCATCCAATAACACAGGAAGACTAAGCAATGGCAGAAAGTGGGCAGATGGGATGGTCATCTGGAACTCCTGTGGCACCAACCAGGCAGTTTCAGGCAGACTAGAGCCCATCTTCACTGCTTTTCTGTCTTTTTTTTTTAATTCAATAGAATTAATGCTTCCAAGATCAAACTGCCAGGGAAGGACAGTCCTTAAGGCATAAGGTCACCACCAGCTCTATGAGTATCATCTTCAAGCCTTAGGGTCCAGTTGGTCAAGCTGATCTTTCAGCTCAGCTATTTTACAGACCAGTGGAGACTATGACTGGCCAAAATTCTTTTCTGGTTTAATCAGAGGTTTCAAAGTCCTGCAAGAACTTAATTTTCTCTGTACCAGATGGGAAATCCATTAAGAGAGTAAACCTGTAAAATTCATGCCCAGATCATGAACAGTTCTAGAGAAAACTGCTCAGAGAAAATCAGCTTCAGTGAAGAAGTATATATTACTTTGTGGCTTAGAAAAGTTACCTGCTAAGAGCCTAGATGCAAATAGAAAAAATTATCTATAAGAAAAGTGGACTGATGCCCACTTGAGTTAAAGTATGCCCTAAAATACAGGTGGACAGCCACAGAAGTACTCCCAGCTCTTCATGTATTTATGGTTGAGAATTGAGACTCTGGTGATATAAAGACATCAAGAATGGGTAAGACAAGAAGACATTTAGGTCTCCTTGTTAAATGTTAATATTGTCACAAGAAACAAAAATACAAATTGCACTTTTATATTAAAAACCATATTGCTGGATGAAGACTGCTCAGCTTGCTGTGTAGTTTTGGTAGCGATGAGTTGTGAGTGCAAATGCCTCCTGATCCCTCCTTGTGGGATGGGATATGGGATACTGCATCCAGGAAAAAGGGAGGCACAGGCTGGCCAGTAGAAAGAATGCTCTGTGTGAGCTGAAAGGGAAAAGATACCCACAGATTGTGTGAAGACTAAAGTCTCATTTTCAGCTCACTGCCCAAGAGAGCAGATACCTGAAAACGTGGCAACAGAAAGCAGGAATATGTACAAATGTTAGTTTGTCTGTACCTACTGACATCTTCTCCTTGGTTTTTTAATGATACACCACACTTCTGGTTCTTTGCTCCAGGGGAAGCAAGCCTGCACTAAAATGATAATTTTTAAAAAAGCCATAATCCTGGTGATTTATGGTCTCGAATTGAAACATGAAAATGCTCCACTCTCCTCAGAATATTAGAGCTATTTGCCCTTCAAACCCAGGTCCAATCTTTGCAGAGGGCATTTCACATCAGCTGAAGGTCAGATCAATATCACTGTTCCTAGGGTGTTTAGAATACCTGCCAGGAGACATTCCCATATTAAAATTCAACAGGATTTTACACCCACAAACTCATTCTTGCCTAAGGTTAACTTTAAACAGAAAGGAGATATTTCAGCCTGTTAATCCCATTCCCCTCCATATTATCTTGTCATGTTATTGGGCATGGCTTCCCCATTTCCAAATTTAATTCATTTCCAAGCTTGCAATTTGCCTTGCTTGCTGTTGCTGCATTGCAATCCCTCTTTCTCCCAACTGCTGCTTTCTGCAATCCCTGGCTAAAGAGCAATATGCAATTTGGGTGAGTTTCCCTAAAACTGACCAACCCAACACACTTCCTTTGCATCATCTCAGTCCATGTGGAGTAGGATACAACACACCTCTGGCCCACGTGGAGCAAGGACCTGTTTTTTTTTTTTTTTCCACCCTTGAATTTCCTTTCACTTTGATGGTTTATAACTCCTTCTTTCTGCTCTGAAGGCACAAATATTTCAATGATTTAAGAAAACTTCTACTTAGATGATCTGGATACACTTACCTTGAAGTAAAAGTGACACAAATTCCCTTGGTAACAGTCTACCAGCTCTTTAGAAAAAAAAAATGCATTTAAATCACCATCATGGAATGAATAAAATAATCACCCACAACCATACAGAGAGTTATTTGCAGCCTTTGATTTGTTGTCTTACATTTCTGAGATATCTTCTTCCTTTGGAGTCTCATCTGCCACCTGATGTTATTTACAGACACAATAGAATCTATTCAAAATACATACAATTCTTACCTAAAAGTCTCATTGTAGAAGATGATTTTTCTTCTTTCACTATCAAGCTCACGTGCTCTTAAGATTAAATATTTCCAGACAACCTCTGCCCGTGAGGTCTACTTGATATGATATCCTAAAGCCATGATATATCATGATATATCAAGATACAGTAGTTGAGTGGAGAGGTGTCTTGATTCCTAACTCCTAAAATTGAGAGAATTTTGGTTTGCTTGCTTTTAAAGAAGATATTTACAGCCCACATGGCTCCAGGGAGGAAATCTTGAGGGAATAGTAAGCACACAAAACCTGCTAAGTTAGAAAATTGAAATGCAAAGCCACCAGGTGACTTCTGAATGTTTGGCATTGGTAGCACTGCTGATATTACACAGAGATGATCCATAGAAGTCCTTTCAGATTTAGGATACCATCAGCCATACTAGTTTTCCACATCAGGTTACTAAGGCATGCACAGATATGACTGAATATAAACCTGAACACCTTTTAAAGATAACCCTAAAGTGAAATGTTAACCAAGGAAGAGTTGGGAACACCAGGTGAGTGTTTGGAGAAAACTCTGAACTGTTTTCCTGGCTTTGGGTATTCCCTACTCTCAGTTCCAACTGCTACAGTGTTGAATACAACCACACCTAGAAAAGCAGGACTTGCATGGTGGAGAAGGCAATTTCCTCTCAGAGAAGCAGAGCTTTGCCAAACCACACAAACAGCTTAACAGTTTGACTTATATTTATCTGTATTTGCTCTTAGAGCACCATTAATTCTATTTTCAAAATGCCTGTTAATTTTGAATAAGACTCCACAAGCAGATTGTTAGGGAGGTATTCAGAGTATAATCATGCCCTTCCACACTGAGAAAGGAGCCAGCTGCAGGATGGGGATTTGTATTCTAACCATTGAGACCTCACATCTCAGCCCCAGCTATGCCAGGAGCTAGAAATTCCAACAAGAACTTAAGAGAATTTTGATGTGGACAATGAGAGAAGGAGACCTGGGGAAGGCAGGGAAGAAGAAAAGGCCAAGGAACTCTTTCAGTTGCATGCAAATGCTGTAAACATGGACCTCCCTTGTCATTTACACAAGACACACTTTGAAACATTTCCTTTTGGTTTTTTTTTTTTTTTCCACCCTCTGTTTAACAAGCTGTAATATTAACTGAAAGAATATATTTTTTAAAAAATCTAAATCTAAAGAAAACCATTTATTTTTAATATTGAAACAGGGACATGTAGATTATTAGCAACCTGAATGGAATTTTGCTTTGATACTGCAGGGTGTTGCAAATCTAACTCACTTGCAGAGATCCAAGTACCTAGGTTTATGCTTCTGAACATCACACCTACCAATGGTCAAGATTAAAAGGTCTGTGATGTTTCTCAGGGAGGTGATAAGGCCAGTTAACAATGTTATTCCTACATGTAAGGTGATTTATTATTGACTTAAGCAGCGAGCAATCACATAAACTGAGACCAAGATAATTAAGTAAAATTAATTCAGAGGCTGAGTGATTTCCATTTGCTTGAGAAGACATTGCTACTGGCAGTTTGAAGTGACTGCTGTCCAAAAGTGGGAATGGAGGCAAGATCCATTTCTCCTATTTATTTGGGTAACACAGCTACAGCAGACCTTGGAAAACCCTCCCTTAGAAGTCTTTCAAACTTTTACCATTAAGAGATCATTTGGATAAGGAAACAAGATCACCTCAAGCTGGAACTTCCAGTAGTAAGAGGATTCTTTAGAACGACCACTCATTTTCAGAAGTCCATAAATCCAGCTGATAGTTTTTCCTCACCTTTGGGAAGAAGATATTTATTGTGTTTGACAAACTTGACTGGTTTGATTTAAATCACAAAATGCACATCAAGCCTGACATCACTTCAGTTCAAAGTCTACAGCATCCAGAATCATACAGAACACACTTGCCTGGTATCTGAAACAGCAAAATCTTCATAGCTGACACTGTTCCTCAGGACATTAGGAAAATCTGTCATCCAGGATGGCAAAAGAAAAAAAAGAAACTGTGAAACAATTCTGTTTTCATTTAAAAATTGCTTAGCTAGAAAACTCTGAGGGAATTAAACGTTTTTCATCATGAATTTTATATGTAAATTAGTCATTATTATTTTACCTTTAGCAGATAAGCTAGTCACTATGAAATTAATGTAACCCACAGCAGCCTCACATGGATAATGACACTTTTATTGATCCATTAAACCCAGAGTATTTCAATAACATATTCAAAAGGTTATTATTTCCTCTGTAATCATTAGCTTAGCTTAGCATAGCACACATACAGCAAAAGTAAATGAAACACCAGTTAACTGCTTAGGAAGAGAGGTAAAGAAAGTCATAATATATCCAATAAATTAACCTGTAACAGCTAAGTTCAGAAGTACAACACCTACCAATGTGGGCGAAGGGAGGTCTGTGGAAATGTCTCCTGTGACTGCTGTTATTCATCTTGGAAAACACCCCCCACTGAGAACTTTGTCTCATTTAAGCATCAAAAGTGAGAAGTAATTTGCTAATTCACAAATTGTGGTTTCTGAACACGGGAAAGCAAACCACCTTCAGAGGTGAACGAGGGCAGGGGATGAGAAACACCACTGCGGAGCAGAGCCAGGGCGTGCTGGAAGCGTTCAGAAGCACTTGTGGTGGACAGTGGAGGGACCAGCTTCCTCATACTCATCTCTGCTGATCCACCTCTGCTGAAAGGTGGACAGAGATGCCAGTATAGAGCCTCCAATCCACACGGAGTATTTATGTTCTGGAGGTGCAATCATCTAGAAGAGAAGTGTGCTCTGTTGTAAATGAAGTGCAAGCAGATAACACAGGAAACATCTTTTGGATGAAAGAACTAGAAGAAAGTTTTTTTGACATAGAAGCACAACTCCATTGAAGTAAACCACCTGAGGGGTAGAAAAGCTGCTTTATTTTGTCTTCCACCTCCAGTCAACAGAGATGCTGCAATGCTACTGTGAGAAGACAAATATGCCAGCCCATGAGACATCTTCTGGTGGCCCATAACACAGCTACCAAAAAATTGTAAACTCATTTGAAAGAAAAATAATGTTTTGAAATATTTCACCTAATTCAAAATATTAACCACTAGGACATCATTACACAGAATGAGCTGAACATTTTTTTTTTTTTTTTAAGGAAAAAGGAAGTCTTTCATGTAAAAAGTCCCAAACCCCAAAACACTGAGATACACTGGCATCTCACACCTAGCTAAGCACTTGATGTAGAGCTCGAAGACCTCCTGTTGATTGTCCCCTTAGCTACTGAATTGTTAAAACACACTGATGTGCCCCAGCTTCTGCATGCTCCAGTTTCCATTCCTGCCACCCCATGTCCTGTCCCTTCAGCAGGTCTTCTGCTGCCCAGCAAAAAGGGCCTCTCTGTTTCACTATAAACTGTCTTGAGTTCAAGCTAAAACAAGTCCTTCTGAACAGCCAACAAGCTGCAGACTTTGCGTGCTGCTTGGATTTTGGATTTATTCTTTCAGTCTTCTCAACAACAACCTTCACTGATAGCTACCACTTGAAGCCTGTAATATTCCCAGTACCTTCTCAAGCTGTTCAAGCCTCCTTTAGTACCTACAGCTCCATCTTCTCTAGGTTCATCCCCATCTCTCTTGTTGTTCCTGTGGTGTCTCTCAGGTAGCCCTTTCCTCACTTATAGTTCTGTTTCACTGGGAATCCCCCAGGACTCTCTCCCTCAGATGTTGGTTCATGCTCAAAAGCACGAAACATTGTTGAAAACGACCTCATGAACTTCCCATGGCTTCAGGAACCATTTTTATTGCAATACCTCTCAAAACTCCCTTCTAATTCTGCTTTGGCTGGTAGAAGGAAAATGGTATTAGCAAGGAGGTTGTCCAAAGGCTTTCCTAACATCAGCACTTGGGATGCAAGGCCTGACACTCTTATGGACATTTTGGGTTGTTTCTAGGATCTAACTTCCCAATGAAAGATTATTTTACAAGTGTGGGTGTTCAAAATTACCTTAACCTTCATAGTACTTGGAGCCAAAGCTGTAATCTCTTTCTGCATGCAATCACCAATGCCAGGATACGTGGTGGTCCCTCCAGAGGGGACGTTGTTGGCATAGAGTTCCTTACAGATGTCCATGTCACATTTCATAATGCTGTTGTAAGGGGTTTCGTGGATACCTGCAGATTCCATCCCTGAGTGGAAAGAAGTGTCAACATGTTATTTCTCTTTGGCCCCATCTTTTTCTTACTGCTAAGATCAAAGCAAGGCTCACTGGTCCAAGCTGATTCCCTTAAGACTCCAGGAAGAAAAAAAAAGCTTTGTCATACTTAGGAGAGGAAGGAGAAAGACAGAACATGCTCCTCACCTTCCTCATCATCTCAGCATAGTAATTCTACAAGTAAAATACACTTGGGAGGAAGAAAGATCCCCATTATATTTCATGCTGGGCTTTTTAGTTTCTCAAGTAAATGATTTTTTTTTTTAAATTAATATTCTTTAAGAAAAATTTTAGGTCAGTTATTACTGCAATAGCTTGCCATTTTTCTAATCTTTTAGGATGCTGTTAGCCAGAAAGAGAAGCCCACAGGGCATTTCAGAGAGCTGCCTTGCTTTTGAGTTGTTGATTTAATCTGAATGCCAGTGCAGTGAAGTTAACTTAGGGCACCACTTTTTGCTGAAGAAAAGGAGCAGACCAGATACAGCACTGGGAATACAGTTTGAACTTTAAGTACTAGACTTTTCAACTAGCTCAACACGCACAGTTTGACAAAGATCTGTGATGCAGGAAATCTTGATTTCCATTGCTATGTTTCTGATGGTGACCACTGTTCAGCACCAACTGTGGTTCCTGATCCACTTCTGGCAGCCAAATCCCTTTATCTACTAAAGAGAATTTCTCCTGCTGATGTTCAGATACAGAATATTTGAACATCACTCCTGCTGATGTTCCAATACAGAACTTGGAGCTATATGAATGCTTGACTAGCTTTCTTTCTACACACAAATGCAGCTAGCTTCACTATTTAGTTGAATAGAAATTGTGCCAAACTGCCTGCAGCCATTTTGCTCAGTTCTCAAGAGTGGAATTTAAGTGGGAAGTGGGAAATCTGTGAGGGCAGCATGAGTTACCACTTAAAGTGTCAGTCACTCACTGGACACAATGGGAATTTGAACATTACAGCTAAAAGTACTGGAAAATAATGTCTGATTTCATTTTGTATGATTAAATTACAGATAAATAAACTGATAAACAGAAGCAGTCTCTAGATAAAAAAGCACACAAGCAGCACTGTGCAGTTATGTGTCAGCTAGCTGAGATAAAAAGCATGATCTGACAGTACCTTAAAACATCATCTTAGAAACCCTACTGTATTTATAAGAGATGGAAACTACCTTAGGATTCAGGTGTTTCTAAACTGAGAGGCATCTTTTTGTCCAGTAGTAGCAGCGTCCATAGCTTTTAAAAAATGAAGTCAACAGAAGCTGCATATTCCTAAGGACATCCAGTTCCTAAAGCTGAAGGTTGTCTATACTTCATTCTTCTGTTCATTCTCTGTCAAGTCTCTAGAAAGAAAAGGCTTGTCCCACCTATGAAAGATGGCTGGAAGAGAGTAAAGGCTTGTCCCACCTATGAAAGATGGCTGGAAGAGAGTTTCTGGGCATCAGAACCGTTCATTCCCAATGGTGATGACTTGTCCATCAGGAAGCTCATAGCTCTTTTCAAGAGAGGAGGAGGAAGCAGCAGTTGCCATTTCATTTTCAAAATCCAGAGCCACATAGCAAAGCTTCTCTTTGATGTCTCTCACAATCTCCATTTCCACTGGAGACAGACAAGAAGTTTATAATCAACATACAGTATGTCAGCCAGGACACAGGTTTTCTCAGGCTCATGATGGTCATACTTCATTGGATTCTGACCCCTCTGTTGTCTCAACAACACTACTTCCCCTTTGCATTATCAGATTTCCCTTTTGATTAAATCTCCAGAGCTTTATCCACTGCCAGCCACCAACTTTGCTCCTTTGTCTGTGTGAGAGGTACGATCAAACATGACAACCCATTAAATCTGTGTGTGACTCAGGACTTCCTAACGAGGTGGCATCCTTGTCCTTGATGCTCAACACACTTGCTGAAAGCCCAAGTCTGGAGAATCCTGTTAGCTAACATGAACTGTTTTTCCCAGATAACTTAGTGATGGGGATTTTGATGCATCTCACCAGGTACACACTTCCTGCATAATAAGACAACTCCCAGAGCAAAGGTACCCAAAGTGCACCCAAAGCACAGCCCATTACCAGTGGTGACAAGCGAGTAGCCTGTCTCTGTGAGGATTTTCATGAGCTAGTCAGTCAGGTCTCTGCCTGCCAGGTTGAGTCTCATGATGGCATGAGGCAAGGCATAGCCCTCGTAGATAGGCACGTTGTGTGTGACACCATCCCCAGAATCCAAAACTATTCCTGGAAAGTGAAAGAAAAGGAGAAGCTGCTTATTTCCCACTGATACAGGGTCTCCACGTACTCCATATTCTCCAACGAAACATGCACCAAAAAAGATGCTCACATGATGATTGCTTCTGTCATTTCTGTAACTAAAGAGCTGCTTAACTGAGATGAAATCATTAGCACAAATTAAGCAGTAACTGTGTTTGGGGGAAAAAAAGACATAACATAATTTGATTGTACTATTCTCCCTGTAATAAAAAATTCCACTACCAATAATCTTACATGGATGCAGAAACTTTCATTTCAGACGACCTTTAGAGCACTTTACAGACACTATAACGTACAAACTGTAAATAAAGATCTATCTATAAAGTTAAAAATTTTAATCTGCCATTAAAACACTCCATTAGGGAAACTATAACAAGAGTTTGTGCAGTCATATTATTTATATTCTTGAATTAAAAAATGAAGAACATGTTTTCCACTCAAAACAAATAAAGCATTTCCGATACCAAACATGCATACAAATAGCTGAATTTTAAACATAAATCAAGTATTTATGACAAACCTAATTCTGGCAATCATTTTATACCAGATTCTATTGTGGCATCAGGCTATGAAGACAGATGGCATTTTTATTTTTTTCGAAGTCTATGAAGACTCCAGGGTTACTAAGAATTAATTTATCACCTCAATGCTTGATCAGACTAAACGGCAAGAAGAAGACACCTCCATGTTAATTCTAATGATCACTTAAAAGTGTCCATAAGGCTGTCTTAATTATGTCTTAATACACAGCCAGTGCATTCCAACCGACGGGTATCTGTGTGTGCCCGGGTGCAAATACCTCCACGAGAGGAGGGCAGCTGGAAAATACAACTCCCAGAAGGACTCACCAGTGGTTCTCCCAGATGCATACAGAGACAGCACTGCCTGAATTGCTACATACATGGCTGGCACATTGAACGTCTCAAACATTATCTGGAATGAAGAGTTTGAGAACCTTTAGGATCTGCACTTTAGAGTATCCGAAGAGACAGTAAATTTAATTATTTCTTAAATGAACACTGTCAGTTGCTACTCCCAAGTCCTCTCCTGAACTGTGGCTCTTCTGTGAACAGCACGCTGTGTTTTCTTTAGGATTTCATTAAAAATAAATCACCAAAGTCAGTGGATATCTTTCCATTAACCTCAGACTAGGTCAGATTGTTACTGAGAGTATTAATGGAAGATGACACCATGGGATAATTTTTTTACCCTGATGGCAGGACTGCAACAATGCAGCAATCTAAGGTTTAAATATACACACAGAGATAAAAAATTTATAGAAGAAATAATTGGAAGGAGCCATGAGGAATAATCTGTCTGTTTGCATCTCGAGGAGGAATCAGCCATTCCTCACACAGCTTTGGTTCTGTCTCAGAAAGTCCTCTCCTGGAGCATCCACAGATTCCTCCAGCAAACAAATCTCACAATACACTGGGCTATTACCAGGGTTTTCATGTCAAGCTAAAACCTCACCTGGTCTAGTTTAAACCCATTACATCTCATTCTGCTCCTGCAGAACACAACAGTTTAGCTTTCCTCTTTGTGGCAACCTTGGCCATAATCTCTTGCCTCATCCCACACCTTCTCTGCTCTAACAAGCTCCAGTTCTTTCCACCTCCTGTGTCAGATGCACTGCAATTTTATCCCAGCAGATGGAATAACTTGTTTCCAGCTGGACTTCACACAGTGAATGAACACACTCTGGGCAACCCCATGTGCTATGTCCTTCTTTACACCAATGCCACCTACCCTAGGCAGTGCTACCTCATCACGAGTGGTGCTGCTGTGACCACGACTCAGAGAATCACAGAGTCATTTAGGTTGGAAAAAGAGGCTTAACACCATTAAGTCCAACTGTTAACCCAGCACTGCCAAGTCCACCACTAAACCACGTCCCTCAGCACCACATCTACATGTCCTTTAAACTCCTCCAGGGCTGGTGACTCAGAGATCACCATTATACCCATCAGAACCACTGGCATCAGGGGGCTCAAACTTAAACTTTGGATTTCATGAGCTAATACCTTGCCAATGAAGTCTACTTTTTAATGGAAAGTATGCTTTCAACTAAAGAATACACAAATTAACAATATTTCATAGTTAATTTACGTAATTATTTTAATGCAGTCAGTAATAAACAATAAGCCTTTAAAAAATTCTGAAAACAGGATTTTTCATTACAGTATAATGACAGAGAAACAGTCCTAGACATGTCTACTGTATGAACCACAACTCCTGGTTGTTATAAAGTAGGTTTTTTCTTATGGTTTATTATCTCCCAGTTGTATTATCTCCCAGTAACGCACTACTTAATTAATTTATTTACACTGTTGCTAAATTGATGCATAATCTTCCTATTAAATGTATGCCAAAAGTGGGCACAAAAGGAAAGGCAGAGACACATCTCATTTTCCCAGGTGATTTGATACCTATATCTGTATTTAAATCACACTTACTTCTGGTTACATCACCAGCTAAATTTACAACATGGACTTGTGCCTGCTCTAAAACATACAAACTTTAGAAGGCAACTTTTGGTTCTGATCTGGGTTTGCTAAATCAGAGTGGGTATCTCATGGGCAAAAACGTTTAGCAAAGCATCACTGAAGTTTGAATGCTTCTGACAACTCATTTTCCCAAACCAGCAAAAAACATTCCAGTTTTTGAACAGTGTTCCCCAGATCCCTGAAGAGGTGCTCCAGTTGGGAGCTCCACAAAGCTGCCTACATGATGGCCTTCAAACACCTTTATTGAATCTTCCCAAACCCCCACAACTCCAATACAATAACTAGCATTTTGTCTGATGCAAAAGTGTCAATAAAGTGACAGTCTCGAGGGCAGAAATAGGAGGTGACACACCATGAGCCTGGGAACTGGGCTACTACAAACTGAGCACTCTTGGTGGCTATGAAAGGTGGCATTGATCCAACACTTACACACAAGTGTGACTCAGCTGGTACATGACCCATGTTACAACACTTGCAAATCTCAGATTTAAATACATCAATGACTCATAACTCCACAAAAAAAAAAAAACCAAAAACATAATTACATGAATCCTGGGTTGACATTATCTACACCCTCAATCTCAGCATCAGAAGCCACCATCTCCTCCAGCTTCCACACTTCCAGAACTGAGAAGACATCATCTTGTGAACAACAAAAAAAAGACTTCAAGCTTTTAAGAGCTAGTTCCATATATCTCCCTGCCACACACAAGCACAAAACATTTTAGGGCCATCCAGAGAACTTGTGCCAGCAGCAGGAACTTTGCCTTTCTCACCACATCCCAGCCAACATTCTAATCCACACCAACCCTAAGGGATTATCTTCCAGGTGAAAAAAAAGTTGAATATTTAGGACTATTCATACTTTTAGCTGCTTCTGTGCAGAAATGGTCTGTGGCACAACATTCAGACAATGACCTGAGTGATTTTTTCACGGTTGGCCTTGGGGGTTCAATGGGGGCTCAGTCAGCAGGACAGGGTGTTCCTCTGGAGCAACCCCAGTTCATTGTAGAAAGAATGATGCCAAATCTTAAAAAAAAGACCAAAAATTGCTTCAGAAAAGTGTTTTGAAACTTTTCAAATAAAGTCTAAGTTTTTGGTTTTTTTTTGTTTTTTACAGACATTAAAAAAGACAGAAAGCATTCAAGAGTGAGTCTGCCAAACTCAGCTCCAGTTTAGAATCAAAACTATTGGGTTTCTACTGTAACAACAGAACATAACCTACACAAGAGTGTCCTTCCAGTCAGGAATCCCTCAACAGAGCATGGATCATCTTCTCTAACAAGGGCATCGATTAGTTCCCACCCACAGGGCTCTGCTACAGCAGCTGAGCCATTAGACCTGAAAGACTGCTCCACTTCAAGCTGCTTGAAGGCCACTCCAGTTGCAAGTCATGGCCAAGATGGGCTTTAGAAATCTAACTATTTCCACAGAAGTGAAAGGCTCTTTACACCACAGTTATTTTATCCAGTAAATTCTGAATCAAGCTCTCACTCTAGAGCTACATATCTTAATTTCTTCAGTACTGTCATATTTTTTCATGTTGGAAGGTGCTACCTGTATCAAACAATGCTGGCTTTGATTGCCTGAGGACCATGGCTGTGAGGAACTGAAGGCTTTTTTTTTTCTTGATGCCAGCTCAAAGACAGACTGTTCAGTAACATGATGGAATATTTACCCTCTTGTTCAATACTTCCCTTCCCTTGTTTCTTTTTTTATGTATTTTTAACCGTATTCCATCTTTCCCTGAACACAGCAAATTTACTTCTGAGCACAAAACATCAGGATAGTTTTAGGGGTAAGTTTATTTGATTATTATCCTAGAAACAAGTACTATTATGCTCCAAAATGAACTTAAGGGGGAGAAAAGGTCTTATCTAAATCCAAAGCAACTGCAAAGTCAATAGCTGTCCAGAGCTGGAATTATTAAGAGAACCTCAATTCTATCTCAGTCCTTTAAAAAAAAATTACCAGATCTCTCCAGAACTGGGGCTTGGGATGCTGGCCATCTTCCATTTGAAGGTTTAGAATATATATACAGGGAGAAGTTGAATAAAACAAAGTAATCATGTAAAAGTTGTTAAATATATATATATAACTCAAATGTAAGGAGAAAAAATAGACACTTCAGATGGGAAAGAACTCAGGGAAGAGAAGAACACCTCTGTGCTTACATAATTAACAAAGTGCTGGTGATTTCAGCAGTGAGGAACAAACCTGGAATCATAAAGCAGGACCCTGCCTAAACCTCAGCCAGTTTGCAGATTTTTCCTCAAAACCAGGCACAATTAGGCACCACACAGCCCATTAGATTTACTAATCTTACCAATATTCCCTAATAATAACCATAATGTTAATGGATGCTGATATTCTACAAGTCACAAAAACTGTTGGTTTTTATAGGTCATGAGAATGAAATGTAAACAGCAAGCACAATAACAAAGAGAAATTCCTGAGGAAGAATTATCCAACACTTGTATTAAACATTTATGTAGTCAGCAGAGCCAGACAACACTCCATCCCACCACTTCCCAGCCTATACGTTGTCAGCTCAGTTGCCACGAATAGGCAGTGATGCACAATGCCCTGTATTATTCTCCAGCAGAAAGCAGAGCAGCCCCCATTTGAATATTGTGAAGTGAAGCACAGGAGAAGCAGAACGCTTCATTTCATCGCCGACACGTTCTCCCCCCGACTCACCCAACAATCTGGGCATCCTGCAGCACCCCTGCTCGCCCTCTCTCTCACCCAGATGCACATTTGCCCTCATCTTTTGGGGACCCTCTGCTTTTTCTAACGTGTGGAGGGCTGGGCACTGCACTGTTACACCTTCATCCCATTTATTGGCACAGGAATTCTCTTGTTTATTCTATGGTGTGATGCTTTTAGTAGGATTACTTCAAGCATTAGGAGGAAATCTGTGGTTCAGACAAAAATAATGCAACTGGCTTTAAAGTCTAGGGTGGGGGGAGGAATCTATAAAAGCATATACAGAAGATATTTTAGCATGCACACTTCAGGATTTTCACTTCAGAACTTCTCTCAGCCAGCAAAGTGTGTGCAGATGTGTGTTACAGTTTCAGGGGAAGGTGAGGGATAGGATTGAATCAGGGAAGCCCATGTATTTATTTAAAAAAAAAAAAAAAGGGGGTGTTTTTTACTTATTTGAAATAATCACAAGAGTTAGCAACACTGTTTCTTGCTTCTTCCCTTCTGCTGCCTTTCTCTCATGCTTCTTTCTCCTCCTTACTGCTCATTCCCTTGACAGCAGCCCCTACTTTGTGTCCTGCTCTGCTCCTGGACACAGCAAGAAGTCCAAGCACAGCTCAGTGCTGGGGTATGTTTGCCAGCTACTACAGGTTGCAGTGCAAGCTGTCTCAGAGGAAGTTAAACTTGGGCTAGGGACACACTTTTACAAGTATTTTCTTCATCCATTTAAGTCACAAAGATTAAAAAAAAGTTCAAACTACAAGAAGCCATATAGCAGCTGACCATGATTTGAATTATTCTGCCACACTACACCCTAAAAACAATCAATCTAGCCAGGAGTTTACACCACACTAAAGCACATGCCACTTTTTTTTTAACTTCTCTAATTCCTTTTCCTAACTAGATACTAGATAATCTGCTCCAGCATCCAACAGTACCCAGAAGAAGAACACATACTGGTATGTGCTATACACAGGACAACTTCCTGATACAGAGACCAGTCACCGAGGGAAGAACATAAAATAGTGACCTCCAATTTTTTGGTCATTCTTTTTCCCTCCAGGGAAATAAAATTTCCTCCTGAATGCAGACAGCAGGAAATTTACCAGGAAGAAGAATGTAACGGGAGGGATGAGGCAGTTTTTCTACTCTGTAGAAAGAAGAAGCAAGGTGTCCTCCCAGCCAGCAGTGCAGTAATGAAATGCAAATCCTGTGCTTCCATCTAGAGGAGCAGCTGGGCAATTTATTTCCAGATATGAAGGGAAGAACTCCTGTTGCTCCTGTATCGACTTTGGTCTGCTCATCTGGAACACCCTGTGCTTATCATTTTGGGGTTATACACATGACACAAGGACTGACTTTGGATAGATGTATTCTAGTTAAATACACCTTGTCTCAGCAGTGTGAGCAGAGAAAACCACCAGCCCCACGGATTCCTTTCAGTGGTACTTTCCACTGTGCTTATTTTTTTTTCACTTCAGTTATTTTCTATCATTGTTACACATTCCACCTCAATACAAACTTCAGGACAGAAGAATAGCCACCCACCTTTTCCATGTCGTCCCAGTTGGTGATGATTCCATGCTCAATGGGCTACTTCAGGGTCAGGATCCCCCTTTTGCTCTGTGCTTCATCCCCTACATAGCTGTCCTTTTGCCCCATACCAACCATAACACCCTGCAGAGGATGCTGTTCTACTGTCAGCACAGTGTATCCTGCACATTAGGGATAGAATATCATTTTTCAGTTAATATTGTACCCACTGCTGCTACTGCTGTTCCAAAATGTACCCCAAAATGTGCAAGGGAATTGAATTTATGGAGAACCACCTACTCTGTACTAACTCCTCCTATCAACCCACCAGGAAGAACAAGGTAGGAGGTATCTCACACTTGGTGCAACTAATGCCCATGCAGCAGCCCAGCCAAGGCAGGCATCAGCAAACTCAGGGTTCTCCACTAGCAACAGGTCCTTTCTCATTGTGCAAAGGAATAAAGGAAAGGGATTATCACTTAAAAAGAGAGAATCTCCCTAAATTCACTTCAGATATTTGGTTGCCCTTTCTGCCTAGGCAGTTCCATTATTGACTTTAAACAGTGAGACTTCTCCTTGCTGGAAGTGAAATGGTTTTTAAAATACCTACATTTAGGGAGGAAAAAAACCCATTTGTTTAGGAGACATTTTCTAGAAGAAAACTCACTTATTGAATAATAGCTTTACTAAGTTTATCGTATTTGCATTAGGAAGCCTATCATGATTGCCCCAAGTAATATAACAACATACCAGGTAAAATATTATTCATCAACTAGCATAAAATTATTTAAATTTTCTTATTGATTCATTAATTCATGGATTCATTAACACAGCTGCTGAGCTGCTTAACTGTGCAAAATTACACCTCAGAAGACAGTGAATAATTTGAGAGGTTAAAGACTGGACGTTTTCAACAACTGATATTCAGCTTCAACAATTCATAGAGGTATTGAAAACACATTCCTTAAAATGCTCAGGATGCCAAACCAGGCTTATTTAGCCCCACAAAAGACCACACAGAACTCCAGGGAAAGCTTTTTGTAGCTCAGAAAATTAAAATCTGACTCAGATATGAATCAAATTAACAAAAATCTGCATCTTCTATTTATAAAGGAACTGTTTGAAAACTCATTAAGCAGAAAGACCCTTTGCAAGGTCAAAAAAAGCCACATTTATCCTCCCCTCTTCTGTCTGAGTTGATAAAGTGGTGTGCTAGAGACCTTTTTTTGGAAGTTTATTGGGCAATACTGCTGCTTAATGGAAAAATAAGAGCAACTTACCACAATCACTCATTTGGTTTCTCATGCTAGAAATGTTCTTTTATATATATATAAATTAAGCAATTATTAATTAATCCAGCAAGTTGTAGATGTTTTTCCATAAGACACATTCATATCACTAAAACACTTGTGTTCTTTTATGATCAACATTTTTTGGCTAAAGAACACCTTTTCCAAGGGATCAATAAGGATGGTATTAAGGATAATATATAATCTCATAATATTAAAGACGTGCAGCTCAGTCCTCCAGTTCTTAACAAGCTAAACTACAAAGGCTGATGGGAGTTTTGCCTCAAGACATCTGATGCCTTCGCATCACCATGTCTAAAGACTCAAAAAAAAAAAACCAAAACCCTAAAAAAACAAACCCAAACCACCCAAAACAGTCACCCAAACCAGACAGCCCTCCCATTTTGGTAAAGACCTACCTGATGTCGAGGACGTCCAACGATGGATGGAAATACAGCTCTTGGGGCATCAGCTCCTGCAAATCCAGCTTTGCAAAGCCCTGAACCATTGTCACATACCAGGGCAGTGGTTTCATCATCATCACACATAATGCCTCACAATTTTGACTGAAAAACAGTGATTTAGGGAGGGAAGGAGATGCAAGGGAAGAGGACAGAAGCAACACTCCATCGTTTAGAGAGTAAACTGCTGTAAAAAGAGTAATTTTGGAATAGGATAAACCTGAGCAGCAAAATCTACACTAGAGCCCCAATCCTGCAAAGCATGTTAAGTAGCCACATAGATTTCAGCTTGAATAGGTTTCACCAAAGTAAATGAATCAGGACACTCAGCTTTTGTTTCCAAAAGAGAAATCTCTGCTGTAGCCTCAAGGGCTCTTGTGATACTCTTGCTAATTGGCCTCATGACCATGGGACAAGTTCAGCTAGAGGATACACATTTGTCTCTACTTGGGCTTTAGCAAGCATAACTCTGTGTCTCCAAAGATGAATTCTCTTCTAGAAATTTCATTTGTTATAAATAAATGGACCATATGCCCCTACTACCAGTTATAAGGGTAGAAGTTAGGTGGTGAATAAGAATCACCCAACATTCATTACTTCAAAGGCTGTAGTGGTTCCCTAGTGGCATGTTTAATTGTGCCTTTTTCTTAGAGGGTCATCATCAGTCTTAAGTAACTAAAAATAACCCCCACCAAAAGTCTCAGGAAAGTCTCTGCTATGTGTTTTTAAGTGGTAGCTCTTCTGTAACGTGAAGTGCTTGCTACAGGCCCCATCCCAAGTGGTAAATACCTTGTTGAAGTGGTTATTCTGGGAAACAGAAGAGCAGGGAGCTGGCACCACCATCCAGGAACAACTCAGCTTGAGCACTTGGCCAACACACATCAAATCAAGTCCTGAACTCATTGGAATTCATGGCAAAACTCCCACCAAGGGAGAGCCTGAATTTCATCAAGATTTCTGGTTTTGGATTCCTTGGTTATTTTTAGGACTGTACAAATGCCTCTTTGGGCAGCTAAGAGGGAAGGACTTTATTTTTCCTCCTCTGGCACTTCACTGGGTAAGGAAGGATACTTCAGAAATAGGAAAGGAATGGAAAAACACTTGTCCAGAAGAATTCTGGTCCCTAACAATGCCAAAACGTATCCAGCATCATTTTTGTGATTAATCCAAAAATCTATTTGACTGTTGATGGCTGTACAGTTCCACCTAAGTGCTATGTGCACAGGCAGGCCAGGAGAAGTGGCAGAACAGCCACCAGCACTAGGGTCTGCCCTGCAACAGACTCATGCTGCCCTAGCCAAGTGCCTGATCCTCAGGAAAAAGCTTTTAGAATGCAACACACCAACCATTTAGCAGCAGCAGCATCCAGCATTTCTGAACTGCACACAGCCTCTCACTCCACGAGGGTAAACCAGAAGGAAACTCAGTTCTTAAATACATGAGTAATTGGCTCAGGTGAGGTACTGGAATTTAGGAGTAGAGATTTTTTAAAGTAGAGAAATGCTACACAGCTCCAAGAGCTCAGCATTGCTCCTTGGCTCTGAGGCAGGCTGGAGAGGACCAAGATGTTTAATCCTCCATGGTGAGAAGTAATATTCCCATCCAGTCCCAGCCACAGCATTTCATGTTCAGCTTTACATGTACTACTAAGGTCAGTACAGTACACAGAGAGACAAAATTCATTGGGAACCCCCCACTGGTCTGAGCCAGCTACACGTTGGAAGGCTGGCAGCAATCATTTACACTTTCATTCACTATTGATTAGATTCCAGAGAAGCCACTGACACCAACAAAATCAATGACTGAATGTGTTCATTTCCCTTCTTTTTAAAATTATCTTTCTTTGCTTATTATTACTGAATTATGTGATGAACTAATCAAGAGCACTACTTAAAATCTGCATTGAGTGAGTTATGTTATTCTTTACAGTGCCCAATTTATAGGGTTCATAACCCTTTTCACAAAGCAGCTATTCAGAAATCTTTTCACCAGATGGATTTCCCAAATAAATTTCCTGAATTTTCTTGATTTTTTCACTTCAATTTAGTTTTTTTTTTTTTGACTTCCCAATGCAAAAATTAAACACATTTAACAGAAAACTTCTTTCTTCATTTCTGCATAAGGCCTGATGTCCATACAGCAAACACTTTTTTAGTGTTGAACTTCCAGGTTTCAGCTAAAGGTTTCATTGCACAACACTGATCCTTCCAGTGATCAGCAACATCTGCACATTTCCCTGCAACCACACAGTCAAAAATTACCTTACACCAGGAGACCTTCTGGGATTCCTTCAACACCCGGGGCAAACAGCATCCAAGTCCAGGATGAAACGTGTAAATCCCCAAAAGATCTCAGACCAAGTGAAGCAAGGCATTAAAAACCTGCCAATACCTACCCAAAAATGGTGATTTGGAAAAGCCTCTTCATAAATGACATGATCTCACCTCTCATTACATTTATATCAGCTTCTGGAATGGAGTTCACAGAATACCCACACGTGTCAAGCCATTTTTGGGAACTTTTCTTTTCAGTTTGTGCTTATCAAAGGGACAGCACAGAGGCCTGGATAAATTAGGGCAGAATTTCTAACATCTCTGGATCCTTTCCCACTCATCAGCCTGCTGCATCTCATGACAGAGTGCTGGTTTTTCCCCTCAAAACAAAAAATCCCTCACACTAGCTGAGTAAGACTGGAAGGATCTGCAGGTCCAGTGCTGTCCTTGGAAAGCACACTGCTTCATTCTAACACAATTAGCTAAGAATAGCTCATTATCATTCTGTTAACACCCATCTTCAGGCTGGAAAGGGAGAAGTTGTACCAAAGTACAGTGGTCATGTTTCAACTGTACCTGGCATTCGTTCCTGTGGCACAGAGACTGAAAACAGCTGACTTATCTCTGCACTTGGGTGACACCATGGCTGAAAACAGGGATTGAATCAGCAATCAGCCACTCAAAAGAGATGTGAGGCAAAAAAAGAAGACAAAACCCACATTGGAATATACTGGATGTATAAAGAAATTCAGATCTTTACCAGACTAAGAAATAAAGAACCGTGAAAAGACCAAAGTTTACAGGATTTACCTACAGTGGTGACTACAGCTGGCAGGATTTCTCATGCCACCAACAAAACCAAGTGATGCAGAACAGCAGGTACAATTTGGTAAATGTTAACAAAAATTCCAACCAATCTCTTTTTCTCACCCATCCCAACACTGTGCAGCAGACCCTGAACACAAGAACCCTTGGGCCAGCAGCAGAGAACTCACTAACATCTCTTCAAAGGGAAGTTAAAGGCAACCTTGTGTCTGCCCATCAGTAAAACGGATGGAATCATCCTATTTCCCTACTTCTTAGGTTTTTCTTTTCCCACAGGATTTTTAGGATTTTAGCTGAACAAACAGGAAATCAAACCACCACTCCTTTTTCTTCTACTCCTTCCAACTCAGCTTGTTTTGTGTTTAATTCCATTTTATACAGATGTGAGCAGAAACGCAGAGAGAACCTACACCAGCAAACAATACAGGGTGTAAAAACAACCTTCCAGCTTTCAGTCATCACAGTCTGCACAAATAAGCTTTTTTTTTTAACTATTATGTGTCTACAGAAGCCAAATGCAAATCCTGCTTCTTGCAGCCTCTTAGCTGAAAGTACACCTTTTATGCATTTGTACCACGAAGCCAAAACATGTAAAAAAAAAGTAAAATATGTAAGATGGTGTCTTTATAAGCTTGAATTTCATGTGTTGAGCAGCAGAGTAACATTTTGCCCTTAAGACAGGCAGCAACTAAACCCACCAAGACAAGAAGTGCAAGTGAATTTAAAAGGAAAAAAAAAAAAGAGGAGAAAAGTTACAGAAATTGCACCTTCAGACAGCAGTTAAGGAATAGATGTTGAAGACATTTATTCATGTCATGTCCACTCTGAATCTTTAATCTGTCTTACCTCATGATCACATACACATCTGTGCAACTTGTCACAGCCATGACAAACTCTACAGCCACAGAAACATTCTTAATTCTTTTATTTTCAGCCACAAAACAAACAAAAAAAAAATCAAAAAAACACAGTAGTTTTTCCTTTATTGCACTCTATAAAACTTCTTGTTATAATCAAGAAGCCAATAAACAGTAATAGCTGAATATTCCTTTAAAATTTATAGTTTAACTCTTAAAATAAAATTTATATAGAAAAGATATCATTTACAACCCATTCAGTAGTAATCAATCATTACGTACTCACCAACAATATTAAATAACCTGTATGCAGCAGTTTCTTTATAGGGCAGAGGGGAATATTTTCTCCTTAGCAAATATAATATTCCACTGTTAAAGAGCAATTCAAGTCAACTTTGGAGCAACTGTGACATACACAAATCTCTTCTGAGAAGCTCAAGATTCATGTAGTGTAACAAGAATATATACAACCGTGTCCAGTGCATAGCTTAACAGCAGCATGTGAGAAGTCTATTATCATGACTTGGCACACCTCTAAAAATTCACCCAGGGAAGGCAGCATATTCAGAGGGCCCCAGTGAGGCAGAGGAAAACCAGCAGGTGCAGTGTCAGTAGGTATGTGAGGAATAAGTAACGGGATTTTGCTCTGGAGGTCAGCAGCTTAGAACAGTAAAGACTTCGTCCTCGAAGCCACCTCCGGAAGGAAAGGGCTCCTCCTTTCATCTGGTTAGGAAACAAAACCCATCAGATTTAATCACAAATGTAAAGGAGAGGAAGCTCCACTGCAGCTGAGACTTCTGAGGCATTATAAACTTTGTGCTGTGGCATCGAGTGCTGCAGCTGAGGCAAAAGCTGGAAGCCCAAGAGAGCTCCCCCTGTGCTCGGCACTGGTGAGGCCACACCTCAAGTACTGGGTTCAGTTTGGGGCAACTCAACACAAGAAAAACATTGAGGTGCTGGAGCAGGTCTGGAGAAGGGCAGCTAAGCTGATGAAGAGGCTAGAGCACAAGTTTTACAGGAGGAGCAGCTGAGGGAACTGGGGCTGTATAGTCTGAAAAAAAGGAGGCTCAGAGACCTTCTCACCCTCTAAAGCTACATGAAAGGAGGTTGTAGAGAGATGAGTTCGGTCTCTCACAAGTAACAAGAAATAGGACAACAGGAAACGTCCTCAAGTTGTGCAAGGGGAGGTTTAGCCTGGGTATTAGGAAAAATTTCTTCACTGAGAGGGTTATCAAGCATTAGAACGGGCTGCCCAGGAAGGGGTTGAATCACTATCCCTAGACGTGTAGATAGGGTGCTGAGGGACATGGTTTAGCAGTGGACTTTGTAGTTACATTAACAGTTGGACTTGATAATCTTAAAGGCCTTCTCCAACCTAAACAACTCTATGATTCTATGATAAATGACTTGCAGCCCAAAGAAAATTAATTAAAAGGGAGAGGAATGCCTAAGAAGTATTTGTGTATTTTGTAATTACCTATACATACTGGAGATGAAAATGCATAATTCACACACACATTTAACAGCCACATATGTAATATAAATGTGATTACTCACACTGTAATTTGGACATATGTAATGTGCTCTATGGCATGGTTTGCACAGCTCCCTGTATTTGACTCACCATCCACAGACAGGGAGAAATTAAGGATGCTTTTTAGTAAAATGTCACTTCAGTAGCAGCTTGCTACTTTGAACAGAGGCCTCTGTGGCTCACCCACCCCCACAACACCTAACCCAGTAAAAGAGGACTTCACAGTCAGCTTCCCAGAGACAAGGTGGATTACACAAGTAGCTGCCTCATGCCAGTGTTTTATATATAAAGAAGACAACCCAAACTGAGCGACTTCCAGCCACTCAGAATGGAAATCTGCACTCCAAGAATGAATGCCAGCTGATAGAGAGGTACAGCAGAGGGCAGAGGGAAAGCAGTAAGGGGTAGCATGAGGGAGCCAATGAGCTGTGCCACCAGTCTTGCCTGTGACTACCAGTATAGAGGATGCACACCACTTTCAAGTAGCTTCTAGTGCAGGGATTGTAAAAGCTCTCCTTTGCTCATTTACTCACCTTTCGCACTACTACGTGCTCACTAGGATCAATGATTAAGGCCTCTCTCTCCTCCTCAGCTTCCATCTGAACAGTGTAGTCACTAGGGACAGACCTGTAACTGCTTGCTTCAAATCTAGGGAAAACCAAAGGGTGACAGTGGAATACAGAATTATCTCCTCTTTGGAAGTCCTGAATTCACAAAAGAAACGTTATTTTGTATGCTTACATTAGCAGGGGAAGGTCCCCACAAAAAGCAGTAAAACAGTTTATGTTGTCAGAGACTTTTTCAGTCTCTGTTTACAATCTACTCCCAGGGTGTTACATTTGTTCAAAATAATCACCATCCTCACTAGCTGACTGAACAGTGATTTCCAGATGATGGTAATGACAGACACTTTATGTAGGCAGATAGCTAATGATATTTCAAATCTAAACAGTGGCTGTGCTAAAGTTGTTCTAGGCAAGATTTTTTCCTAACTTGGAAAAAAAAAGACAAGTACCACTGAGTACTGAGTTACTGTGGACTCAACAGACAGGTTCTATTATTTGCTCAGAAATTTAACACCCAGAGGAAAACCTATCACTAATCTCACTAAAATTAAAAGGCAAACAAAAAATCTGACACTCCTTTTTCCAGTTGTGTAGTGCACCCTGCATTTCCTCCAGGCACAGTGTAAATGAAAACCTCACATGGCTTCATCCCAGGGGAAACAGAAGCAAAAGACAGCTTTAACTCTCTGGACATACAACTTTTTTCATATCCCCAGCAGAGTTTAATGCAGCAATCTGTCACATACTTTAAAAATACAAGAAAAAAACAGGAGTATTTTACCTGTTACTTCGCTCCTCAGAGAGCCCAAGAGCTTCTTCTGCAGCTTCTCTCCTCCTCTTCTCTTCTGAGAGCGTTTCTGTGAGCTGTGAGAGTGCTTGCTGCACTGAATCATACTGTTGCTCAGTCTCTGCAAGCCTAGCAGAAAGTAAAACTCAGTTGTGTACATACTGAAAGAATTACTTTCTTTTTCTTTTTTATTAAGGAATGATCTTTTTTGTGATGAAGACTTAATTACGAGATACTTTATATTAGATATTGAAATAATCACCAACAAGTATATACCTTTACAAAAACAAGCCACAAATATTACCAGATGATAACAATTCAAGAATAAGATTATGATTCATTTAATCCACTGTAAATCCACTTCTTTCCCTTTCCACCCCAAATGCCTTAGAGGGATAGTTAAACACTTTTGGACTTAGAACATAGCTGTTAGGAAAACAATATTGCTAATACATGCTCTCAGTCCTGACCTTTTCCTGAGTTCATTTAGTTCCATGTTGTCTATTTCAACAATAACTGCAGATCTTTCCTGTGGTGCTCCAGGGGGAACTTCTGCTCTAGTTCCACCCTAGAAAATATTGAAGAGGGGGGGAAAAAAGCCTGTCATTATTTTTCCAGTTGCTAAAAAATCTTTATTTCAATTAAAGAAGCCATAAGCACCACAAAAGAGTGGAACAAAGCACTCTCTGTGACATTTAATCTTTTAATTTCTGGAGCTGCAATTTTCCAAACCTGTTTTCTAACAGAAAGTTGAAGAATACAGTCAGTGTGTGCTGCAGGACTTGAAGGATACAGGTACACTGTGTACAGGTGTGCACAGGTACACAGTGACCTCTCAGCAATGTCTGCAGGGAAAGAAATGCACCCACACACCTCCTGTCTCATAAATAATCTAGCCCTTCATTTAGTTTTTAGTTTACAGTTCTCCTTGTTAGTGTTTAATTCTGTTTATGGAGAAGCAAGGGTTGTATCCATATGAAGTTTTATGGTATTATGTTAATTGATTGTTACAGAGTAATAAAGACAGTATAGGAAAACTTTTTAAAATGAAGAGATCACAAAGCAATAAGCTTACAGATGTTCGTGATGGGTTGGCAAAAAGCCCTAAAATGCTGAAATGGTGATACAGATCTCACTTCTGAGAACATTACTCAAACACCCTGCAAAATGATTTACAACTGATATGAAATTATCACTAGATTTTTGCTGATCCAGTGATTGATTAGTGATCATCCAACTATCTCTGCAAGATGCAGGCAATTCAAAAAAAGATGAAACATCATGGGCCAGCAGAAGTACTGAAGCAGTACAAGTATTTACTTCATTTTTAGCATGAAAAAGAGAGAAGCATGAACACTGAAGTAAAAAAACTAAGACCATTGCCATGTATTTGTTTACCTCAGCAGCACCCTGGAAAGATGCCACTTGTGCTGTCTGGTATTCCCTCTCCAGTCTCAGATAACGATTTTGCAGGTCTGTGTAACGGAGCTGGTTATCCCTCAGAGTCTGGGAGAGAGTCTTCAGCTGGGCTGAGAGGACAGCATTCTCTTCTACTGACTGCACAGCCTGAAAGAAATTAACAGGTAAATGAATGAAAATTAGGAAGTATCTCCTCCAGGAAATTAGTACAGACTTGAGACCTGACAAAACAACCGAGTATTCATTTTAAAATCGCATCAACTTTTTGGCAAGGTAACAGATTGGTAAGATTTAACTTGTTGTTTTCTGAGAATTTGAAATAATGAAACCTGAGGATTGATTTTGCCTGTCATCAATATGCCCAAAGCAGAAACTCAGGGTTTTAAACCCCAATGCTATCACCACCTCCAAAAGACAGTGTACATAGCTGCTACTTCAGGAAATGCATGTAGCCAAACAAGCCTCAGAGTCTAAACACATTCACCAGGCAGTCCAGGAATGCTCAGCAGTCAAGTTTTCCTCTTTTCAAATACCAGACCACAATTTGTGTCTCCACCCCTTACCTAAACAATCACCTTCACTTGGAGGAGCTTGAGAGTTCTATACCTGTTTCAAAGTTTGGTTAAAATTGTTGCTAGGTTGCTAAAATGTTTGGGTGGAGAAGTGAAAACAGACACAACAACAGATGAAAGTAAATGTAAACCTAATTTGCCTGAATAACAAACAGGCAACACACAGAGAAACAAATGTTAAAAGGAATTTCCAAGAACATTTACAAACTTTTGCAGAGAAAACTGAACACAAATATGTATGTGCACATGGGGACTCACTCTTACCATCTTAAAAGCCACAAAAGTGTTCATCAAGAATTGTAAGGAAATATTTTTGAGATGTTTAAAATTCAGTATGAGATAGCAAAAATCTTGTACCAGCTAAGCCAGACATTTGTTTCTGTCTCTAATGAGAAATATTCTACTCTGAGTGAAAGTTTAGCAGTGCCCCACTAATGTGTTCAGAATGCAGATTCAAATAAACCCCTCTCAGCCAAATAACAAGTCAGGAAAAGCCTGACAGAGACACAATACTGATATTTAGTTCCGAATTTCTAGTCTGAGCCAACAGGGTTGTTTTGAAGAATTTAAGTTTTAAAGCAAACTACCTTTCACTCATGCCAATTTAGCAATATTTCTATGTTGACACCAGCTCAGATTCACACCAGCTGTTGAGGATGACAACTGTTGTTCTGTTACCTTTGAATTAATCTGCTGGAAATGCAGATCCTTCTGGTGCATCTCCTGAAGGCAGTGCTGCAGCTCACTCTGAAGCTGATTCTTCTCAGCCAAGACATGTTTGATGTCCTCTGGTGTATCTGCACTTCCAGCCAGGGAGACAGTTTCTAAAGCCTTAAAAAGGATTATAGTATATTCAGGGTAGATGGTATAGGAGTTCTTTAAATAAACACTAAATATACATATGGACTACATAGTACTTCCTTTTTTACAAGGTCATTTCCTTATCACAATACTGGATTTGCAAGAGACTTTATATTAAAAAAAAAAAAAAGAAATCTTCTATGTGGTGTTTTCAACCTAAATACTTCCATTAAACAATAAAACATTACTAAAAAAGGCAACCCAACTTAATTTTTAATCTGGAAAAAAAAAAAAAGAAAAAATAGCAAAAGCCAGTTGCATATAAAACACCTTTCTAAAATTATTTTCAAACTAATAATGTATGGTATTCATGACTTGTACAAGAACAATTACTCTGTAACTACACATTTAAAGCCCTAAGTCCATTTTGGAAGGAAAAAAACAAAAACACACCCAGCTTGATGATCACTGACTTGCACCTTTGGCCACCTTTATCCCTTTATCTGATGTTTATCTCCCATGGCAGTGGGAAGTGTGCCATCTCTAATGCTTTATGGAAAGTATTTTCCTATACAATCATGAAATAAAGACTGCTACCACAGAAAATATTCCATAACCCAAGAGACATTACTGTTCAGTAGCTTTTTTTTGTGATTTTAATCACAGAAAATGAACAGTATATAAGACACAAACTTGACAAATCAAAACATTGTTTCTAGTGAAATTAAAAGGAACATGATTTACTTCCTTGGCATTACTTCTACTTGGAAAAGGCAAGTAAGACTATTCTAAAATAACACTTCTCTTGAACATTTAATGCTAGTCCACAAAAGCAGACAGCAATTGCTGGGGCAGGTCTCAGCTGCTGCCTTTCTAAATCTGGTATTTTGTTCCTGGCAGAAGCCAACTCCAGCTGCTTCAGGGGAAGGGCAAGAACACTTCCACTAAGCACATCTCTCCCTTCTGTCCCCAGTCAGTTCTTACTCTAATCTCCAGTAAACAGAGATTGATTTAGGCTCTGAAGAATGAACTTTATCAGATCTTTAAAATTTGTCAGCATCAAGTATACAAATTCTAAAAACTTGTCAATGTAAAAAAAGCCTTTTTTAAAAACTTATTATATTAAATATATGTACTTAACTAACTGAAGACAGTAACTTCTAAGATTACTTAACTAATCTACTAAAATCAGCAACAAGCAAATAACTTCCATGTAACCACAGCAAATTGTTAGTCTTTTTTGATTAAGAATCAGTAACTTACTGGTTCATGACCTTCACCTTTCACTTCACAATCACTTAACATCTTTATGAAGGTGCTTTCCATGGTTTTAACCATTAAAACACATCACATCAGTGAGTCGTCTCAGTTATTTTATCAACATATGAGAAATTAGTGATATTCCTTTGTTTAAAAGAAGTTGTTCAATCTATCAATCTCCATTGAAAAAAAATGGTTTTAATAATTACAAATCAATTTTCTTGGGATAGTTCTAACTTGCTGATCAGACTCCAGGCAACACTGATACAGAGGTAGAGGACTCATCAGCCTTCCATAATTCACCATCATATGCTGAATAGTACTCTTTTAAGACAAAGGCTGCAAAGTTAATACAATAAACCAACAGAAGCAGATTTGTGCCTCCTGCTCACTTCATTTGTTTACCTGGACTGGGTAACTGCTGCCAGCAGAGACTGATTTCTTAACAATCAGGTCTTGTTGCAGCTTCTGCAGTTCTGCAATCTGTCGATCTCTCTCAGCAGCTGTCACCTGACATTGATTTCGGAGTGCCTGGGACTCTGAGAGGAGGAGGGATTTTTCCATTCTGAACACAAAATATTGGGCTGGACGTTAAACGATGACATACTACACACAAGTCCATGGAAAGCATAAAGCTGTACTTACTGTTATTTCTGAAATAAATCATGGGATATTTGGAACAGTTATATGCAAATATGGAGCATGATATGAACATTCTCAATACATACTTCAGTTTAAAGACATCTGCTAAGGAAAAAAAAATCAGAAAGTAAAGCCTGGGAAGTGGTACATCGTTGGCTTGGAGATGAGAGAAGCTCATTGGCTGTAAAGATAGTAACATCTGTTAAACAAGAACTATTGCAGCTGTGCAAAGAATTAGGCTGTGCAAGGCAACGTAGCTGTATGGAGCACTGCTCAAGGTAGCCAGTCAACCCCTCTGGAAGCATCCACATTTGACAAGGAATAACCTAAATGCAGAACATTAAAATGCACAAACATCCCACAACTCCAGAAACTCGTACACAAGCAACATCACAAAGTGCATCAAAGTGATTCTGAACTCAATTTACTACATGTTTTTGATAGGAGAAAATGAGGGGGAAAAATGGAAGATGACTAGTCATGCTGTTCACTGGTTCAGTCTCCAAGTCAGAATGAGGTTTGGGTGTTTCACGCTAACTTGCTCACATTTGCAAAGATAAATGTGGGGCTGGCCTTTGGATCTACATTCCCAAAAGCTTCCAGTACAAAACAGTTTAAAAGCCTGAATGAGAACAGTAGTCCAAGACAACCTGATCTGCCTCCACTGAGTGCCCCTTAAAAATGCCTACTGCCTTCTGTGAAGCAGATCTTGGGAGACATCCTCATAATTAGGTCCAAGGTGTCACACTACTCATTCATCATAGATGGTGCCAGATGTGAACAGTGCTGAAGTGGACTCTGGAACCTAAAACAAGGCTCAGATATGAAATGAACTGAATTTTCAATATGTAGTTGGGCCAAACATGCCCCAGGTTATCTTTGAAATAAGGAGATCTGCAGGGGGAAATGTTCAACCATATCAGCTGTGACTCTAGAAGAGAATATGATACCAAGCACTGAAGTAAGATTCTTAACCTGTAGCTCCATATGTCCAATCCACCATCAGAAGAGAAAACATTCAGTTAAGACTGCTTGAGACTATACATAAACCAAGAGACCATTAGATAAAGATACAAGGATAACTGCAAGCAAAGACAAACCTGTGGAAGTGGATTTCACACATTACAGAAATATTTTTATCCTGTTTCCTGCTCGACTGTATGTGCTTCTGGTTTTGTGTCAGTTTTATGTCGGGTTGTGAAGGCACTGAAGAAATCCAAACAAGAGCCACATGAAGTATTTAATTTTAACATTTATACCTTAATCCTGCAAGCTCATTCTGGTATGATGCAATCTCTCTCTCAGCTTCTGCTTGGAAGGCTTTTGTCTGATGCAACGCCTTCTCCAAATCATCAACCTTGGTCTTCAGTTTTGATATTTCAACAGCTGCAAGGTTGGCTCCTTCTTTGGCCTACGTTTAATAAACATGATTAGTGAACTGGAAATAAAACTATAAGGTTCAAGTTTCAGAATCCTAATTACAGAATACTGGTCTTTTCCCTATTTGCTCAACAGGATAATTATCTCAACTCCCAAAATTATAAGCATGCCTTTTATAGTCACAGAACATTTTCTCAGCACTCATATATTTTACCAAGTTAAACTCCAAAGCCCATGATGTCTCTAAGCATTGTCTGCATAAATAAAAATATTACAAAGTGAGGTAGCTAATTAAAACTTACCAACCTTTCCCTATTGTTCTGAGGTGTATCCAAATTACTTTTAAAATAATTTATCTCATTGATGCTGTTGCAACCAATGGGAAATGAAGCTGTGCCCTGTTTTGTTTCAGAAGTTACCTTCTGATTGCTGAGCTCCTGCAGCAATTTGTCTCGGTCATCCTGAAGACTGGCCATAGCCTTGGAAAATGCTTCAATCTGGTGAACATAACTCCCACACTCAGAGGAGAGCCTGCTAACCTCCACCTCTCGACTGACTAGCATCCTACAGAGCTTTTCAACTTCATCAGCCACCTGATCAAGTGTAACCTTATCTGCAGCATCAAAACCAGCCTGATTCAGAAGAGAATTTTCTTTGAGCAAACTGAGAAGGTGCAATTTAAAACCATCCAATTCAGCTTCAAGTTCATCTCCTTTCTTTTTTTCAGTCTTGAGTTCAGAGGTGTATCTGCTCTGAAGTACCTTTAAGTCCTCTATTACCCTATCTCTGTCATTTTGCAGAGCAGTCATGGCTTTCCCAAAGGCCTCGTTTTGGGACCTCAGCTCAAGGTTTTGAGACTGAACTTCAAGCATCATCTTCTTTGCAAAAGCATCAGGCTCGGCTCCATGTTCAAGTGTCAAAGGAGTCTTACTGTAGTCCTCCTCTGCATCCTTAGCGTTTCTGCCTCTCCGTTTCTGCAGTTCTTGAACAGTCTTCTGAGGAGTTGCTCCATACTGTCCATTTGATACACATTCTTTTTTCTGAACACTATCACTCGTTAGCAGTTTCTCTCCAGACTCAGAAACAAGCTTCTCTTTGTTTAGTGATGCAATTAAAGATTCTAAATCACTTACTTTAGACACTAGTTTTTTATTTTCGTGTTCCAAAGCCACAGCAGTATCCTTCTGCAGCTCATTGGAAAGTTGCATTTCTTTTACTTGCTTTTGTAGATCATATTTTTCTTGTTCAAGGCTTTTAATACAATCCAATTTCTGCTTAAGTAAGTCTTTCAGCTGATGGTCTTTCAGAGATAAAACTTGATTAAGATCTTCCCTATACTTTATCAGCTGTGCACTTAGCATTGCGTTTTCAGAATGAAGATCATCTATCTGATTGAGAAGTATCCTTAACTCTTGTTTCAAAGCATTATTCTCACTTGCATGGCCAACAATAAGACCGTCCCGCTGGTTTAAGACATCTTGGTAAAGATGTTCTAGCTCTCTGTATTTAGAAAAAAGCTCATCTCGATCATTCTGAAGAGATGACATGGATTTTTTAAAGGCTTCTAGTTCACTAGCAATTGCATCCTTATCTTGACCTGCTCTGTCTGCTTTCATCTGGAGATTTCTCAATTCAGTTTCCATCCTCTGACGGGACTCCTCGGATTGTTGTCTCTCCATCTGCAAAGACCTTAACTGAAGTTCACACTCTTGGATTTGTTTTCTATGTTGAGTCTGTACCTGAATCAGATAGTCAGAAATGTCATCGCCTTTTGAAGAAATGAGTAAGGAAATTTCTTTGTCTTTATTATTTAGCATGATCTTCATTTGCTCAGAAATAGTGATCTGCTTTTGCAATTCAGCATTCATTTTTTCCTTCTCAGCTACAAGCTGTTGCAATTCTTGTTCCTGCCTGGTAAAATTACTTTCTAGAGCTTTTATCTCTCTTCCTGTGCTTTTACTACTCTCTATAAGATGATTAAGAGAATTATTTTCTTTAAGGAGTGCTTGCAAAGTTTCTTCTTTGGACTGAAGAAGACCTTCCAATTCTTGCTGCCTGTTTAAAATAAAAGTATTTTCTTCCTTTATTCTGCAGAGCTCTTCATAGCGTTGCTTGTCAACAGATTTTTGCCTCAAATACAGTTCATCCTTTGTTTCCTCTACCACTGAATATTTGATATTCAGTTCTTGAATCTGAGCGATTTTGGCTTTCAATTCATCTTGTAAAGACGTTATTCTTTTATTACTGTCTTCTATCTGTTTCTGTTTATTTTGGATGGCCTCTTTGAACTGCATTTCCCAGGTTTTCATCTCAGTGATCACTCTGTCTCGGTCGTCCTGCAGAGAGGACATACACTTTGTGAAAGCAGCTAACCGTGCCAAAGCTGCATTCAGATCTGCTTGCAGCTTCTGGTTTTGGGAGTCCTTAGTGCTGATTTCCTGCTGCAGACCACGAATCTCACTAACTGCCCTATCTTTTTCTCTCTCAAGGGCACCGTGTCTTTCCTCCAGGTTCAAAAACTCTCTTTGGTGAACCAATTTTAACTGCTGAAGATTAAGCTCCAATTCTTTCTCATATTCCCTCTTTTGAATTTGTAGTTCATCATCTTTCTTCTTAAGTTCTTTTCTCCAGGTTAGATTCTCATCTGTAAGCCTGTCCACTTCATTCTTTGACTGATCTAACAAATTCAGCTGTGAAGAAAGCTTTCCCTTCAGCTGATATATTTCTTCATTTGACTTTGCAAGCTTTTCTGACATATTACTTAAGTCTTTTTCAAATTTTTCACTTTTTGATTGTGATAGTTTCACAGATCTTTCCAAATCCAGGATCAGCTCCTGGAACCTTATAGAATCTTTTTGCAAATGGTTGATCTCCTGCTGTTTCTCCTTTAAGAGTTCTTGCAACTCTTTCGTTTTGTTTTTACTTCCATTATTATCCCTTTGAGCACTTTTCACCTTCTCCTCAAACATTTTTACAAGATGTAACTGCTGTTCCTCTTTTTCTCTAATCACATTACATTTTTCTGCCTTTAAGTCTTCCAATTGCTGTAACAGCAAGTTATTCTGTACCTGTGCTGATTTCATCCTATCAGTGAGATGATCAACTTTTTTAACATGATTAAGCAATTCTGTCTCAAGAAACTCTCTCTCATTCTTTACTTTGTAAGAACTTTCTTGTACATTTTCTAATTCTTCCTGTAACAGACATTTATCATCCTCTAAAATCTTAACTTTTTCATTTAGACTAACAATTTCTTGTGTCAGACTTTTGCATTCCATGTCCAGCTTTGTTAGACAATGACTTTTATGGTCCAAAGATTTTTCCGTTTCTTTAGCTTTTTCTGAAATCAATTTCATTTCTTGTTCTAGGACAAGTACATCTTGCTCTTTTTCAGAGAGTTTATCCTTTAGCACATTAAAGTCCTTTAACAAAGATTCATTCTCATACAACGCATCCCTGATTTTACATTGTGTATCATTTTGGTACACTTCCATTTGAACCTGGAGCTCTCCCAAAGCTGCTTTAGTTACTGTGATGTCATTATGAAGGATCTCATTTTCATCCTGAATTTTCTCTAAAGCCTGCTTTAAATTTTCAGAAATTAGTTTCAGCTGCTCATTTTCCTCCATAAGCTGATGATTCTGTTCAGTGAGTTCATGAAGACGATCCTGGTGTTCTTGCATCCTTGCCTCTTGCTCACGTATCTGCCTCTCTGCTTTACTTTGTAATTCCTCAACTTCCATTTTCTTGGATTCGCTGAGTTGTTTCAGCTGATTCTTAATAGCCCCATTTTCATCAGTGAGTTTTTGTAAATGCTTTTCAAGAGCCTCTTTCTCAGATTCTCCTTCCCTGAGTCTTTGAATAGCCTCTTGCTTCTCTTTTCTACTGAGATCAATAACTTGCCTCATATCTGCTACTTTACTACTGATATTCTCATATGCCTGAAGAAGTGATTCATACTCCTGCTTTAATTCACTATGTTTAGCCTTCCATCCTGTTAATTCAACTGTCTGAGAATCTTTTAAGGTATTTAGTTGGAAAGAAAAGGCCTCTTTTTCCTGAACTATAGTCTCCATGGTGGATTTGAGACTTTCACACGCCGCAGTGAGGTTCTCGTTTTCAGTCAACAGTCTAGCATTTTCAGAAACAAGACTCTCCTCTTCAGGCAAAGCAGAAACAGTACCTGAGCTTTGGTTTTCTCTACCAAGCTCTAACAAGCGTTCCAGCATCCCTGTCTTGTTCACCAGTTCCTCTCTTTCCAACACCAGCTTATCAATCTGGTCTTTCAGACATTTATTTTCCCTCAGGGCTTCTTTACGTGATATTAAAGCCGCCTGTAACTTTCTTTGAAGGCGCTCTCTGGACTTGTCCTCTGGTGCAGTTCTTTGCTCTTGTGGTTTAGAAACATTGACATTTGCAGCTTTTGCCAGTAGCTCTTCAGTCATTTGCATTTGGTTCTGGATTTGACATTCTGTTCCTTCTCTCAGTTCAGTTTTCCCAGAGTGATCAGTCTCCGACAGCTGAGGACGGGTGCCTTTACCTTGCAGCTTTCCTTGAAGAGAATTACTTTCCAAACAAAACTCTCCCACTTCTTTTTCAGCATCATTTCCTTCCTTAAGCTCTTTGCATGACCCTACAGGTCTACTCATCCCAGCCTTCTCACGTAGCATACACACCTCCATCAGCAGTTTGCTGTTTTCTTCACTGAAATGTTTTGCCTCCATTTTCATATTCATTAGTTCTAAATTGGACTTTTCTAAACAACTGATAAGTTTCTCTTTTTCATTCTTCATCTCTTCAAATGCTGTTTTGTAATGGTGGGCTTCTTCTTCTCCTTTCTTTATAGCTTCATTTAATAATTCTTTTTCCAGATCAAGTTTATCTTTGAAATCCATAAGTGAACAATGGAATGCTTCTATCTCCTCCATCTTTTCTGCAACTTCCTTCTTGGCTTCTATTCTCAACTTCTGCAGTTCCTCCTGGCTCACTTTGTAATTCTCTTCACTTTTTTTAGTAAGCGCTTCTTTCTCACTAGTCACATGTTCAAGGGCCATCTTAATGTCTACAGCTTCCGCTTCATATGTCTTCAATTTCTTCTGTAGCTGCTTTATACCCTCCAACAAGCTGCCCTTATATTGCTCCTGGTACTGCTCCTGCTGCCTCAAAGAGTTTAAGTTGACTGTTTCGTCTCTTTTATCGCCAAATTCAACAAATATTTTTCTCAACTCTTTCTTTAACATTTCTGTTTCCTCCTGAAGTTTTGCATAATCACCTCTTAGTTCTTTTAACTCAGTGTCTTTACTTGCCAACAAAGCACTCATGTTTTCTGACTCTTTTAAGGATCCAACTTGAATATTGCTTCCTGGTTTGTCTGATTCTGAATTCCTTGCATCAGCTGCTTCTTCTTCCAGAACTGCCTTAGGCAAAGCCAGCTCTTTCCACAG